CTCGGCACTCTAGCCTGGGCAACACAGTGAGACTCTTGTCTCAAAAAAAAAAAAAAAAAGAAGAAGAAGACATAAATAGACTGAAAATAAAGGGATGGAAAAAGATATTTCATGCAAATGGAAATGAAAAAAGAGCAAGAGTAGCTATACTTCTATCAGACAAAATAAATTTCAAGACAAAAACTGTAAAAAGAGACAAAGAAGGTCATTATATAATGATAAAAGGGTCAATTCAGCAAGAGGATAGATATAACAATGCTAAATATATGTGCACCCAACACTGGAGCACCCAGATACATAAAGCAAATAATATCAGAGCTAAAGAGAGAAATAGACACCAATACAATAAACGCCAGAGATGTAAATACCCCACTTTCAGCACTGGACAGATCATCCAGACAGAAAATCAACAATGAAACGCTGGACTTAATCTGCACTATACAACAAATAGATCCAATAGATATTTACAGAACGTTTCATCCAACAGCTACAGAATTCATGTTCTCCTCAGCTCATGGATTATTCTCAAGGATAGACCATGTTAAGCCACAAGTGTCCCAAAATTCAAAAAAATTGAAATCATACCAACTATTTTCTCTGACCACAATGGAATAAAAGTAGAAATCAAAAACAAGAGGAAAATTGGAAAATATACAAACACAAGGATATTAAACAATATGCTCCTGAATGACCATTGATTCAATGAAGAGATTAAGAAGGAAATGGAAAAATTTCTCAAAACAAATGAAAATGAAAACAAAACATATCAAAACCTATGGGATACAGCAAAAGCAGTAATAAGAGGAAAGTTCATAGCACAAAGTTCCTACGTCAAAAAAGTAGAAGGAAAGTTTCAAAGAAATAACCTAACAGCGTATCTCAAAGAATTAGAAAAACAAGAGCAAACCAAACCCAAAATTAGAATATGAAATAATAAAAATCAGAGGAGAAATAAATGAAATTGAAACCAAAAACCAAAAGATCAATGAAACAAAAAGTTGGTTTTTTGAAAAGATTAACAAAGAAAATAGACACACCTTTAAGCAGACTTAGAAAAGACAGAAGACTCAAATTAATAAAATCAGAGATGAAAAAGGAGACATTACAACTGATACTGAAGAAATCCAGAGGATCATTAGAGACTATTAAATGGTGTTGGGAAAACTGGGTATACATAGGTGGAAAAAAACAAATTGGACCCCTACTTCATACAAAAATCAACTTCTAGGATTAAAGTCCAAACTGTGAATGACAAAATCAATATAGGATGTCTTTATAAGATAGGTAATAGGAGAGGAGTCTTTAAACTTGTACAGAGAACTTCAGGGTCCCTGGATGCTCTCACTAGGCATATTCATTTCACTCCCTGTTCACTTGTTCAGTAAATATCGAGTGCCTACTATGTGCCCAGGTTTGTGCCAAGTGCCATGGGTAGGGTAGTGAGCAAATCAGCCATGACCTTGTTCTCAAAGAATTATCTTTCTTTCTTTTTAAACCTTCCCAAAAAAAGTTAGGCAGGTATTTTTATTTCAAAGGGTTTTCCCCCAAATATTGTGGTTGAAACATCTCTTCCATTACGTTTCAGGCTTTTCCACAGGCTTGACTTCTTCTTTTCTAATTCTTTGAGATGTCTTGTTAGGTTGTTTCTTTGAAACTTTTCTTCTACTTTTTTGATGTAGGTACTTTGTGCTATGAACTTTCCTCTTATTACTGCTTAGGACACCACATTACTAGATGCCAACCTGATTTTTAAATTCAATAATAGTTATATTTTTAATCCAAAATTAAATATGAGTAATATCCTTGAACATGTTGCTCTTCAGTTCATCAGACCTGTTGATCCTAAAATCCATTTTATTTTTAGAGTTGCAACTATATGTGGATAATAAATATCTGAAAGGTTTTTTGGTTTTGGGTTTTTTTTTTGTTTTTTTTTTTTGAGATAGGGTCTTGTTCTGTTTCTGGGCTAGAGTGCAGTGG